GGACCTACGAAAATTTAAAAATAATACATTCGAAAAGTTGAAATAAAGAAAGAAATGGATACCGAAAGGATAGTAGGATCTTTGATGGAAGAACAATTGCAATAATGCAAGAAGAAAGAAACGCCAAAACAAGTGATCATTATAGGATCAAAGTTTTGCAAAACAAAGTCTAGAAAAAATTAAAAAAGAGACCGTTGTAAAGAAAAGAAAAATAAATTACAATTAATTAGGAATGTAAAATGCCGATAAGTAATTAAATAGCAAGAAGTTTAAGCATTAGTAGAACACCATGTTTGAATTAAAAAACGCTATTACTATATAGAAGAAACATAAATGAAATTCGTGTAACACCAAAATTTCTACTTGCGGGAACAAAACAATTTGTTATTAATCTCTATCGTTAATTATCTTAGTGATTTAATTTCGTATATAATCTTTATCGTTAATTACCTTGGTGATTAATTTCATTATCTTGGTAATTAATTTCGATGATGCCAAATATCGTAAGTAATTATCGAAAATTATCTTATTTCGTTAATTTTCGGTTTTTTTATCGATAAATATTGATAAATGATGTATCTCAATATTTATACCCTAAAAAAATTTCCTGATGAGGTCAAGGTCAAGGCCAAGGTTAGTGTTATTTATTAAACGGCAATTATTATGATTAATTAATTAATTGATTAAAAATGATCTTAAGATGATACATGAAGTTAAGAAAATTACAATGTTATTTATACATGTTAAAGGTTCTATCATCTAGTTCTCCGATTTCTTTGAAATCCTAATTTATTAAATGTATTTATTTCTTAAACCTTCTGTATAAAATTATTTCTAAAGTGGTCCAATCCAATTATTTAAATTCATTCGTTTAGATTTAATCTGAGAATCAAAGGTCTGTTGCATTTTAGTTGTTTGAGATATTTTCTGCGAGTCAATAACAATATGAAATTGAATCTTGGTTTTCTTTTCTTCATAGACTAAGGGTCATAAAATAGTGAGATCAACTGTAAATTAAGGTTCTAGGAAAATCAGACATGTGTTGATATTTGGACTTATGGTCAGTAGATGAAACCAGACGTGTGCTACCTAGTAAAGTAAGGAACTCAGATTGCGCACTCACAATAATTTCAGCTCCTATTTCATAAGTTTGCTTCTAAAAGGAATTGATGTACTTTTTCCTTCATACATGATAAAAAAGAGAAACAAATTGATACCTGAATGTGTTTTAAATTAATGTATATCTATTTTAATTATTTTAATTACAAATTAAAAAATTCCAAAAAATACAATGATAATATGAAATGCGAGAGGTAAAAATGATAAAAGTGATGAAGAAGCGGTGGTAATGTTAGTGATAAATAATATTTAGATATTTATATTCTAAAAAATTTTTTTTTTTAAAAATTAAAAAAATGCACATAATGCACATGAAATTTTGAATTTCACATTTCTAGGCCGCATTATAAATAATTAGGTTTGTTTTGATTTCATTAATTTAATAAGTTCTTTTAAACCCTTTTCAATATCTGTAATCCTATTTGAAATATCACTAATTTCATTTTGTAATGAATCAAATTTATTTTCATGCTTCATGTTTGATGATGTAGATGATAATGGTAATTCTCCTCCAAATAATAAAAATCTATTATTACTACTATTGTCTTTATTGTTATTAAGAAGATGATTGAATTCAACATCAATAATTCTAAAGGTTTTCAATACATATTTAAAAGTTCCATTAGGAAAATCATTACTGTTTGCCACATTAATTTCACCATCCATAAATGATTTTTTATCAACAATCAACTTGTTATTATTATCACCATCACCACCATTGTTATCATTAACACTATCAATTTCATCATCAGAATCATCAATAAATTCATCATATTCAATATCATGTAAATTTAAAATATCTTCAGGTTTAACCAATTGGGGTGTTACAAATTATAATACACAAACATAGTTGAGCACACATAAAAAATCATATGTGCGGATTTTTCGCCGATCTATAGGAGGTTGCAAAACATAGTAAAATTTGGATGATCTGCATCATAGTAAAATTCGAATTTACATAGT